GCGCCCTCAGCCCGAGGTTCACCCATCAGCGGTCAGGGCCCCCGCTGATTCAGCCTCCTTCTTGGAAGATGCTTGGCTGCTGAGTGTCCCAAATTCCAGAAGCATCTTCCCAAGCCCTAGCCTTGTGCTGTGTCAGATAGTCCCCCCACCCCCTGTCCTGAGACTGCTGGGCGGGGGGCGGTCCCCAGGCTTTGACCCCAGGGGTAACAGAGCAGCTGCCCCATCTCCCTGAGGCTGTGTTCCTGCTTCACCGCCACCAGAAACAGCATGGTCACCCGGCTTGAACCGCTCTCCCGTCTTCAAGCAGGGACTGGCCAGAAGGTGCGAAGGGCACTCAGTTTCCTGGGGCAGCCCCAGACAGCAGCGCGAGGATCGCCTGACAGTTTCTGCGCTGTATGTACCTGCGGGGCCGCCGCCTGCACTCTCTGTCGCCCTCCCTCTCCCTCCCTCTGACTTCCTTTTGCTCCCGCAGGATCCTGAGGATCCTGGGGTGCAGGTGACAGGGGTGCAGCTGCGACAAGAGACAGTGAACTCCACCTGGAGACAGTTTCAGGTGTCACCAGGGCACCAGGCACCGGGCCACCACTTAACTCCTGCCAGGTCACCCACCAGAGACCACCACAGAGAGCATTGGGGAGGGAGGGGTAGGGAGTGGTGGGGGGGCGGCCCGGGCTGAGCGAGCCCCCTCCTCACATGCGCACTCTGGGGTGGTCTCCTTTTGTTGTAGGCAAGCGTACAGGATACAGTTGACTAGGTTTGTGAGCTGGAAGACCACGCCTTCACCACGCCCCCTATGTGACCTCATACGCCTACCTGGCGGCACCTGTGTGCCCACCTGCCAACCAGGCTGATTAACTACTCCCCTTTGGAAGTGGATTAAAGGCCTGGGACACGGCGGGCGCAGCCCTTTTGGTCTTTTTGCCCTCTTTGGCCATCGTGGACCCTTGCTGCCCCGTGCCTTCGGGGCGCATGGCCTTCGGGTCACCTGCCCCGTGCTTCCTGGCCTGCACGCTCCTCCACGTGTCTGGCTCCTATGCTCGGTCTGAATCCAGATTTTCCTCTCTTTCTTAGATAGGGCCCTCACTCTCCTATGTATTCCTCTCACTGAATAAAAAGCTTAAACCTTATCATGCTGCCTTGTTCACTTGTGTCACTATTCAGAATTCTTCTCCGAATTCGTGGCAAGAACACACAGTCTTATTAATATTGTGAATTTATTAATAAGCACCCGGTAACATCAATGGCACCGCAGATGGGACTTCTAAGGGACACGTTTCCCCTATTACTCTCTGCATGCTCTCCCCATCGTCCGTCTCTGAACTTCGGAGCAGGGAGCACAAGGCGCTCGGCACAGCAGGTGCTCGGGGCGTCTCGCCCTGTCGCAGAGGGGCCTCGGACCACCTCCGGCCCGCATTTCTCCCCAAGCCCTGCACCGGCCTCTCTGAAATTCTCACTCTGGCGCTGGAGAGCGGGTTGCTTCTAAAGGGGCAGAACTAGCCAAGCAGGTGGTGGAAAAAAAAACAAAAACTAAGATTTGTTTTTAATCTTTAGACTTTCTGGTCTCCTAAGCCACGACGCAAATAGCACGCTGGCATCCCCGCCCGCTGCCCGCTCAGTGGTGGCAGGGAGCCTCTCCCCGAGCCCCTTGGGGCCAAAACGCTGTTTCTCATGGCCACCATTGTGCTCTCAGCCAAGGGAGATGTTATCAGCAGGATGTGGGGGTGGGGGCAGCAGGTAAGAGGAAGGAAGCGGTGCCAGCCACCGAGCTGGCTGCTCTGGCACTGCAAGAGAGCAGGAGGGGGCTGGTGGTCCACCAGGACCCCAGAGCCTTCCCTCCGGGGGAGAAGCTGCTTCTGAGCCTGCTACTCAGGGCAGAACCCGCAGAGCCACTGGGGTCAGGTTCCCTTCCCGCCTCTCCGTGCAGCACTCCCCGAGCTTTCCAGAGGCCCAGACCGAACCACGGAACTCCGACTCCACGAGCAAGCGCAGCTCTCCACGCGGGCCCAGCCAATGCTCCCCTGGGCCAGGCCTTCCAGCCCAGCTGCTGTGTGGCTGGGAGGAGTGCTTGGGCCTTGCAGCGAAGCGAAGCCGTCCTGCACCATGAATAATTCCCCTGCAATCAGGATTCCAGACTCTTAGGGACCCAGTTCCTACTCCCACCCCTGCATCTTCCAAGTTCCCTGACTTAACAGACTCTGCAGGGCCCTGGCAGACTGTCCCCCACGCATGACCCCTGGACTGGCCTTTTGCAAGTGTCCAGGCCTGACTTCCAAACCCACTTCTGCTTCCCAGCAGGGACTTGGCTGGGGGGGATTGGCCTTCTCCCCCTGGGGCTCAGATCCTGCTTCTGAGAAAGGAGGGGAAGTGGGTGGGATGCAGGCTGCTCACTGGGGGCTGCCTCCTCTGTGCCCAGTGGGAAGCTAGGCTGGGATCGATTAGCAATGTCTGCTGAGAACACAGCACAGGAGGTGGTGGCAGAAGCGACCTGTCCTCCTTGGACTAGACCCTCATCCGTGGGCACCTTTTAGGCCTGGAACCTTCTAGATCTTTATCCCAATGACCTAGATGAGGGCAAAACTTCAGATGAAGATCTGCTCCAAGGGGATGACATACACACTGCTTTCACTGTTGGTCTCTAAGCCACAGTGCGCTGGGGAAGCCATGGGCACGCAGCTAACTCGCCTCCCCAGTGGGAAGGCGGCGTCAGCTAGAATTTTCCCTTGTGCCGTCCTTGTATATGGAACCGGGGTCACATGTGCGGAATGAGGGTCTACCATCAGCAGGTGGGGGAGGGGAGGCTCAGGGAAAGTCAAGTTTCGTGGCGCTCAGCTTTTTGTAGCCATGTTGAATGACAGAAAAGGAGCAGCAGGTGGCTGACGGTCACCCAGCCCCATCTCTGCCTACAAGCATCTCAGGTCATCATTCACAGTGCCCCCTTCACAGATGCACGGTGCCGAAACACCTTTCCTGTCTCCTAGGAAGTGGACTGCAAGTGCAGCTGGTCAGCTGTCCATCTCTGTGGGCAGGGACACTGACATTTGCTCCTTAGGAAATGCAGTTCCATTCACACAGCTGGTCTTGTTGGGGACTCAGAAACCTGTCTGGAAAAACTGGGGACGATCAGCTTCCTATTGGCCTTGTAGAGATTCAACCACACAACAGGGTCTTAAATGCTCTGATAAGTCCTGCAACCAAGGAAAAAGTTTAATTTTGTTTTACCTAAGCATTCCCCATGCATCTTTATCTGGAACCCTTTCAATACTGCAGCCTCTGTCTAGCTCTCCATGAAATTAAAGGTCTGTGGAACACACTTGGGAGACAAGGTCTTCCATAGATCTGGGACACTCTAGGTAAAGTCTATTTTTGCCAGTTCAGTCCTGGGTGGAGGGAGAGCAGCTGTCTCAACCCCCTGAGATACATCCACTCCTGTTCTTGGTGATGGGGAAAGGGGCTGCCTGCTCCCGGGGGGTCTGGAGAGGGAGGTGCACTCACGGGCAGCCTCCCTGGACCAGAGGAACTACACATTTCCTGGAGATCCACCCAGCCTCTGCAGCCGGCCAGCCTGGGACACAAGTGGGAGCTTCCGCTTGGCACCTCCCTTCCCTGGCTTCCTGTTTTTCCTCTCTCTCTCTCGGTTGCCAGCTGCCAGTGAACCTCGAGGCTGGGACCACAGCATCCCCATGGACTGCTGGGATCAGATGACCCTGACGACCCATTTCTAGAACATTGGTTGTTCAGCCGGAGAGCGGGTGGGTTTCTGTCTGTCCCACAGCTGCTTGGATGCAACGCAGCTAAGGGTACCCGACTCCCTGGCCCATCGTGGGGATTCAACAGGCCTGGCACACAGTAACGGCTCAGTGAACAGCGGCTGTTGGAGATGGATTGTCACTCTGTCTGCCTGACCCAATGTGTCTCTTAGCTAGTCACATCTATTAAACCTAGCAGGTTCATTCGGGCTGAACACGTCACAGGGCCTAGAAAAGAGGAATTCCAGCCAATGCAGTCCCCAGGGCCCCCTGTGGCAGGGCCTCGCTCTGACCCGGCAATTCTCTCTGAATCCTGTAAACACCTACTCCCCAGCAGGCACTATACGACGCAAGGCACAGGGCAAAGACCAGGAGGTCAGGGGGACGCAGATTCCAAAACTCAACTGGTAACAGGGAACAGCATGACTGGGCGGCCCCGAGAGGGAGTCAGTGACCTGTGCTCATCCCCAGGAGTGCTGACTGGAGGGCAGAGAGGCCCACGGCGGCTCCCACATTCAGAGACCCAGACCAGCATCCGTGCCCCTTGGAGTTCAGCGAGATTCCCACAGAGATGTGTGCAGGTGAGGGGTCGGAGGGCTCGGAGGAGGTGAAGGTAAGACCAAGGTCTGCCCGTGCGAACAGGTGCAGAAGCATCCTCACCACACAAGCAAGGCCAGAAAAGCAAACAGCAAAAGCCCAGCTCGCCATCGGCTCTTTTGCCACCAAAGTATAAACGCGACCAAATGCCGCATGCCCAGCCCGAGGTCTGGGCCGGGAAATGCATTCAGGGGTCACGTGATGATCACACGCAGACAGGCCACCCATGCACAGGCTGCCACCCACAGCCCTGGAGCTGAATGAAGTCCCACACTGATGACCTCAGTGAGGGCCATGTCCTCTGGGCCAGCAGTGGCTTGACCCTTGTGACCCAGGGATCATGGGGGATCTCTGTGGTCATGGGGGGACCAAGTGACCAGCACAGCACAAGAGAAAGCTCCCTGGAGGGTACTATGAGTTGAACTGTGTCTTCCCTTTTATTGCTGCCACCCCTGCAAAAGATGCTTTGAAGTCCTAAGCCCGGCACTTCAGGACAGAACCTCCTACAGAGACAGGGTCACTGCAGGTGCGCTTGGTTAAGAGCGGGGGCAATCTGAGTAGGGTGGGTCCCTGATCCAATGGGACCAGCGGCCTCATTAGAAGACAGAGGCACCCAAGAGAACCTGATGGGGTTGGGGAGAGGACGCGATGATGGTGGCAGAGACTGGATGGATGCAGTTGCAAGTGAAGAATGCAGACCACCAGAAGTTAGCAGGAGTGGAGAAAGGACTGCCCTCCTGGTGCCGGAGGGGTCCTGGCCCTGCCCACCCACACAGCGGTTTCAGATCTGCAGCCTCCAGGGTGGTGACAGAATACAGGACTGCCGTTTTCAGCCGCCCGGTGAGTGGTTGCTTGTCACTACAGCCCTAGGAAGCGAAACCAGAGCGGGTGAACCTTGGGCATACGGGTGGCACATTTGGAAGGAGATCTGCCTCTCGGGGATGGATGAAAGGGCAAGAGAACGGAAGACGCAGGTCTGAGGACAAGTGTGGAAAAGAAAGTCAAGGACGGGAGCATTGCCCCAAAGGCCCCTAAAATTGCACAGCCGTAGACATTCCCAGGGTTTCAGTCCTGGACTGGTTTCTGCCCAAACTCCTATATTGAAGCCCAACCACAGTGCTGGCATTTGGAGAGAGCCGGCTCTCAGTCACCAGGCAGCTGAGGTGAGAGTCGGTTCAGAGGGTGGGGCTCTTGCAAGAAGTTGTGCAGGTGCACAGAAATGGCCATGGAGGTCTCAGCAAGAAGGTGGCCAACTGCAAGCCCCAGAGAGAGAGGCCTCCCCAGGAACCAAGCTGCAGACATCTCGACCTTGGACCTCCAGCCTCAAAACCTTTCGAGAAGTAACTTTGGACCGTTTAGGCTGCTCAGGGTGTGTTCGCTATGGCAGCCCCCGCAAACGCAGTGGTCCATCCAGCCAGCTCTTCCAGCCTCTTCTGCCTGAACCACCTCTGTGTCGAGCGCGGCCAGCACCTGCGCCAACTTCTCGCGGGGCAGGGAGCTCCCGGCCTTCCTCGCAGCCCACTGGGTTCCAGGAGCAGGAACGTTTTCTCCCCCAGGAATCCCTCCCTCGCTGCTGCCCCTCCTCCCCCCGGGGCCAGACTCATCCTGGAAGACAGCCCTCTGTGGGAGTGGGCAGTCTGGCTAGGAAAGCACCAGACTTGGAGTCTTCGACAACGTGGGCCACGCCATCTGTGCTGCGAGTGACTTTACCAGCTCAGCACAGCACCAGGCAGGGTCCATAGGTAGATGCGCACGTCTTTTTGTGGCCCAGTAAAGTCTCATGTGGCAAATGGAATTTGAGCTTCCTAGCATTTTCATGGCATGAGATAGTCTTTGGATTCTTTTCCCCCATTTAAAACAAGTGAAACCATTTGACAGGCTGACTGTGGCCACGGGTGCAGCGGGTCAGCCTCAGCTCTGGGTTTCCCAAGTCAGTGATTGGCCCGGGCAACTTAGACCATTCCTGTGTGAGGCTTGGGTGATCGACCGTAGGGTAGGACTTGCGGGAGGTGAAGGAGTGTGGTGTGTGTGTGTGTGTGTGTGTGTGTGTGCGCACACACACAGCTGGGCACCATGCGTGAATGTGAGGCTTGCAGGTGGGAAGCGGGAAGAAGCAAGGGCTTCTATTGGCTGAGAAGCCAGGGTAGACATGGAGACAAGGAGTTGGGAACCCCACGGCCAGACACGAGTTTTCTCTTCGTGCAGTACAAGAAAAAGCAGGGCAAAAATGGATCTAAGTGGTGATTTGGAATTTATATCTTGGCTCTGGGGTCAGGGACCCACGGAGATGTCCCCATACAAGGCCAAGAGGGGCCTGTGCTTCAGGAAAGTTTTGTGGCCTGGAAGGGCCGGCTGGACTCCGGACAGCAGAATTGTGTCTCTCAGCAAGGTCAAGGCCTCCGGGGGAATCTTCCCCTGTGGAGCCTTTGGGGAGCCTCTGGATAGCAGGGTTGGTGCCGCTCAGCAGGGAAAGCAGGCGCTCGGTCTGCCTCTGTTCACATGGGTGCAAGTTAAAGCAGCCGCCAAGGAAGCCAGGGTAGGGCAGCCGGGGCGCGGGGAGGGCCGGAGCCTGGTGTCCGGCCTGGGAGCAGCAGAGACCGAGAGGTGCGAGGTGCGGTGGGGAAGCCGGGGGACGCATGAGAAGAGGACGTGGGAGTCAGGGGTGGGCCCAAGCAGCCACAGCCGAGTGCAGCAGGGAGGGCTGGGGCTTCTCCCAGGCCCTGTCACTAACCACAAACACGGAAAAGCCAGCCTCGGGACAGCCCTGGAGGTCTTGCCAAGAGACTGTGGTGGGCCGTTTTAGTTCATTCTGGGAACAGAAGCAAGGGGGTGCAGGTGCCAGCCCTGGTGAGCATTTTAGCGTCACGGCAGCTGAGCCCTGGCTGGCTCCTCCCTCCCTCGCTTCCTCCCCCTCACAAAGGTACACAGCAAGCCTGGAGCTGATGTCCTGATGGGGATGGGGAGAAGCAGGTGGCTGGACGTGGGGCTCTCTGGAGGCTGCCGGGCAGAGCGGAGGGTCCAGGGAGGGGCTTGTTTGATGGGAGAGCCATCCGCAAGTGGGGGTTAGATGCCTCCAAGAGCCTCAGCGGTTGAGCCAAGAACCCCAGTGGTATGGATGCCCCCAGAAGAGCAGTGTCCATTTAGGACCAGTTCATGGGGGGCCTTCAGCCCTCTGGTCCCAGACAGCGGGGAGTGTTGGAAAGACGATGCAGGAAACCCCCAGGCCCCAGAGCACGGAGCAGCCTGGGACTGTGCAACGCCGGAGGAGATCCCCATGGGCCTGGCTGGATTTTGAACGCAAGCTCACCTAGGGCTTCTGAAGGCTCAGCTCCACCTGCTGCAAGGGCAATGCCTGGGTAAGGCAGCGGCGACACGGAACCAAGGCTGAGCAGTGTCCCGGAAGTGCACAGGGACCCCAGGCCTCCTGCCTCGCACCCTCTGCTCCTGCCATTGCTCTGCCTGGGTTCGGGTTTCCCCTTTGTGCCAGGTCAGATCAGTGGGCTCTGGGAACATGGACAAAGGACTCAACAGCTGGCTCCTGCCCTCCCTCTGCACGCCCCACCTGCTCCCAGCATCCTTCAGGCCGGATACTGGGAGTCTCATCAACACGGTCGGGAAAAGCCACCAGTGCAAGTGGGCAGTGAGGGCGGGCTGGAAGGCAGGGCACACAGAGAGTGTGACCAGGCGAGGGGACACAGGCTCCTGGAGGGCAGGCCACTCGGGGACCCAGCACCAGGCTGGAGCAGAGGATGCAAAAGGCTTACCCCCCCCACCTCCCCAGCAGGGCTTCCGAAGGGGGAGGGGCAGAGACATCTTTGCAAGCTGGTTACTGAGTGCACAACCACACGGTGCCAAACACACGCACATCCCACGGACACACGCCCATCGCTGCAGGCAGGCCGACCTGGGTGGTGTAAGTGAAGAGGGAGGGCAACACACTGGCGCTCCCCACCCCCAGCCACCGCGACCCCCAAAGGCCCATGCTCTCAGGGCCCGGACTTCCGGGGGGCGTCATGAACAAGAAGGAGCTGTCAGGAGCCCCCGGAAGTCATCTTGGCCAGGGCAAGGGGAGCGTGGGGCAGTGAGGTTTAAAGGGACGACGCCATCACAGAACAGGAGACAAAGGCCGAGCTGGGGAGCTGGACCTCTGAGAGGCCTGCGGGACTGCACTTCGGAGCCAGGTGCAAAGGCGCCTTTCACGTGCCATGAGACGCCCCCAGCAGTTCCTAAAAACACTTCCCAGGCCCGTACCCTGCCCCAACCTTGGCCCAGCCGCTTCCACCAAGCCGCTGCTCAGCCCTGCACCCCCACTCTCCTCCCCCCAACTCCTAGCGTGCAGCTGGAACCCACCACGCAAAGACACAAATGGCCAAGGGCCGCTCCGTAGCTGGGGCAAGGCCGGCTCCCGGGCATCAAGGGAAAGGGGCATCAGCAACCTTCCATGCAGGAGGACACACGCACAAGCAGGCCAGTCCTGCCAGCCTGGCCGCCGCCGGGCCTCTGTCCTCGTCCCACAGCCCAGGGCCTCCGATCCCAGCCTGCAGCTCCCTGCGCCGTCCCCTGGGCCTCACCGACCGGCACCACGGTGTTCTGGCTGGTCTAGTTCGGTCCTGGCTCAGCACAGTCCGACCCTGCCCGAGAAGAAGGGCACAAGTCTGGGGTGCAGGGCAGCTGCCATGCGCAGTGGCTGGTGGGGGCTGGACCCGCTGATCGTGAGCCTCTGGCCTCCTAGGCTGGCAGAGGGCAGAGCAGGGAGGGAGAGGCGGCTCGGACGCCGAGGCAGCTGGACGCCGTCCCGTAGTCGGTTGGTCACAGCCTGCGGGGCGGGGAGGGGAGGGGAGAGGACAGAGAGGCGGTGAGAAGTCACAGGGAGAGGACAATGCTGTGCTGTGTGCATCAGCGCCTTCTCAGAGGGCCAGGTGGTTTGAGGTGAGCTGGGGCTGTTCCCTCCCAGGAAACACGGCAAGGACTCTGCCCACTGAGGTCCTAGCGCGCGGGGGGCTCCAGGCCTCAGGGTGCACACACGCAGTCTCATTTAAGCCCGAGAACAGCCTGTGATGCGGGCACTGTGAGCCCTTTCTGCACGTGAAGGCGCTGAGGCTCAGAGAGGCCTGGGGTTTGGTCCCAGGGAAGCAGCATGTTCCGGATCTGAATCCAGAACTCTCTGGCTCTGAGCACACAGCTGTGACTGAGGGCTGGTCACCGAGGGTGTGGGCTGGCGGGGGCTCAGGGAGGGCTGCAGACACAGCAGGAGGGGGTGGGAGCAGGACCTGCCCCCTGGACTCCTGCTACCAGGCGTGGTTTCACGGCCCAGAGCAGCAGAGGGACCTCACTTATTCGCATGGCACCCCCATTGCTGGGATGGTAGCTGGCAACCAAGAGATGCTCAGGACACAGGCGATAGGGCTTTAAAAGATGGACAAATGGAAGAAGGAGTGAATGACGGAACCCACAGTCTCATCCTCTAGACCAGGTTTCTTGTCCTGTGCTTTCTCAGCCCAGTTCCATGGCTGGCCCGCATCTCTCTCCAACCAGTGAGCTTTAAGCTGCTCTGTCCCCTGGAACTCCTGACCTCTCTTTTGTGACCTCTGGGAGGGCAGAGGTCACTGGAGGATGGCCCAGATGAGCCTTGAGTTTTGGAATGCTAGAAACTCCTGGGTCTTTCCCAGAGGCCTGACATCCATTTTCCAAGCACCTGGCGCTCCCTTTGCTGGGCGGAGTTCTGCTCCTCAGGGCCTCCTGTTGTCTGCTGTCTGCTGGCACATCCAGTTGGCTGTCAGCCCTGTTGGCTTCTTGTCAAGGGCTCGCCCTCCTTCCTGGTAGACAGTGGTTGCTAGGGTCCAGCGAGCACCTGCCCTACAGGTGGTGTGGTGCCAGGTGCCCTAGGGCACGAGTTCACCGGACCCTCACAGCACTCCTGCTCTGTGGAGAGGTCCCATGGCCCTCAGTTTCCCAAGTATGAACCTGCTGCTCAGAGGCCAAGCCACTGCCCAAGGCCACACAGCTGCTAGGCAGTGCAGTAGGGATTCTAACTTGTATCTGTTGGACCATGAAATCTGGGCCTTTTCCAACAGTCTGGGGGAAGGCTGAGAAGTTTCCACGCCCCGGGTTCAGGAAGCTCAAGGCGTGGGGCAAGGGGTGACAGAGGATCTCCCAGGACCTTCGTGGGGTCCCCTGGGAAGACTCTGACAAGTGCCACAGTACAGCCGTGCACACAGGTGGGGGTCTGTAGCGTGTGACTCTACATTGGGACACACATGCACTGGTGGGCAGGCACAGCAGTGCAGTGTGTGTATGCACAGGTGCCTGCATGCATCCTGCAATGGGCTTGTGTGCCTGTGTGTGCGGGCTCAGGTGCAGGCACGGGTTTCCACGGGACGTACATGTTCTGCATGTACCTGTGCGGCAGCGTGGAGACGGCCACGCTTTTAGGTTCTGTTTTAGGGGCTCCTCTTGTGTGCATGCGTGCGTCTAGCTGAGTGTGAGATATGGGGAACAGGCCCCCCTCAGCAGCCTCATCTAGGCCTCTCGCCTTACAGAAACTCCAGTCGTGGAGCCTGGGGCTGGGGGTGGGGAGAAGAGACGCCACACTCAAGATACCACGTGGGGCTCCTGCCCCAGCCAGGTACAAAGGGAGGGGAGTGGCATGGAGCCTCCGAATGAGGCAGCCACAGAGAGTTCTGGAAGCCATGACGGGGCGGGCTGCAGGCCTGGTCTCAGGCATGGGCATCCCAAAGACGTGAACAGTAGAGCTTGGCAGGTTCAGGGCACCGCCCTGCCACATGCTGCCCATGCTCACTGGGGCATCAACCTTCATCGGGCGAGACAAGCAATGAGGTGGCTGCAGCAGCCGCCGGAAGCAAAGCCCTGTGGGGCAGACTCTAGGACCCAAACCCCAGAACAGACTCCCCTGAACGGAAACCTGGTACAGAGGGTGGTGGCTGGAAGGGGTCCGTGGAAGGTGGCTGGGGGGAGGTGGGTGTTGGGGAGAAGAGCAAGGCTGTGGCGACAGCCAGAGGGCGAGACCGTGGGGAGAGAGGCTCCGGGTGAAAACCTACTCTGCAGACTTCCAGAAGTGCCCGGGGTGAGACAGGCGGCGGTTCCGCTTTGGCAGTTTCTCCAGCATGTCCATGAGCTTGGTGAAGGTGGGTCTCTCTTCTTGTTCAAAGGCCCAGCAGAAGAGAAGAATGTCCTAAAGGAAGCCAACGGGCAGTGACTGAGCAGACACGGTGACTTCTTGATGACCCCTCAGTAGCTCAAGGTGTCTGTCCATTGGTCCGTCCATCTGCCCCACTTCCATCGCCATCCGTCGCCCACCCATCCAGCAAGCACACACTCACACATCACCCATCCCGACCAGAGCACTTGTTCATCTTTCACCTGTGACCCAGCCGTCACGCACGCCTGCATCCATCCATCTATCCATGTACCCACCAGGAATGCATGCAGCCACATGCCCAGTCACCCAGGCACCCACGTCAGTGCACTCTCTCATCCTTCACTCAATACCCATCCATCCGCCATGCATGCACCCTTGTATCTATGCATCCATCCATCAGCCGTGCATGTACCCTTGATTCCATGCATCTATCCATCCATATCAGTGCACTCTCTCATCCTTCATCACTAAATCACCCATCCATCCAAATCAATGCTCATTCATCTGCCATCTGTCACCCATCCATCAATTCATCCATCATACACACAGCCATCACTCATCCATCCTTCTTTCCCATCACTTTTTTGAGGTCATAGACTAAGCTAGGCAATCTCTATGCCAGAAGGCTTGGAATACACGGAGATAAGTAATACTCCCTAAGGAGTCTCTCGGTATTTTTCTCAAAGGGAAAAGATAAAAGGGAATCCTAAGGGCTCCATCCACATCCCTCCCAATACCGTAAGTACCTTTCGAAATCACAGAGGAGAAAGTCTACTTTGAGTAATCTCACTGAGAAGGGTAACCTACAGACAGGTAGTCCTTTCAGACATCGCTAATTATTCCTTCTCTGGCTTATCTGTCTTCTAATCAAAAGAGAAGCTTCTTCCCGCTGTGTTTTGGGGGAAGATAGTTAATTGGTACTCAGTCTTCTCTTTTTCTGCATATCTTGTTCTGAGTTGGGTATTGCTTTAAAATTATTATAAATGTGCCAATAAAATTGGACCCAATAATTTCTATTAAAAATAACAGAAAAAGAGAGTTTCACTTGTGCCACCTGACTTGGTGATCCATTGCTAGGAAAAGCTGGGTCGAGGCTTACTATGCCCCTAGGAGCAGGTACCTGAATTGCAGGCATAGAGCCTCGAGTCTCCCTTAGCTTCAGTCCATTATCTCGCATAGCTGCGGGGCACACTTCCTTGCTCCCCCTTGGGGAAAAACCTGTAAGGCAGTGCTGGGCCTGCTTCTTCCCTCGTCCCCAGGCCCACCCTGGCACTTACCGAGATTTCTTTTCCCATGCCGATCTGGCTGAGGTTGGGTTTCATGCCTGTACCCATTTGCCAGATGATTGCCTCTGCTGGTTGAGTCTTGAAAGGCCACTCCCTGGCGTGGAGCTCATACCAGATGGTGCTGTTGGTGGATATTAAAGTGGTGTTGGTGTGATCTGCTGCTGATGGCGGGCCATCCCTCGCCCCACTTTATTCCCCATGTACTAATGGCACTGGTGTCTTGCCACCTGGGACACCACCAAAGCCTTCTCAATGTCTTAGAAGTCATGCTTATCCCGGGTTACCTTCTCTGGAGTCTGAATTAAAATGAATCAAAATCTAGGACCTGAATAGTTTTACATAATGTGGTTAAGATCTCTGACCTCACCTCTGTACTTCTAGGAACTCTTTGAAAGTGAATAATTAGGCAAACAGACGAAATTCACTTATGAGGACGTTTGCCGTAGCATTATATATAATAATGAAAAGGTAGAAATAATAAAATTCTTCAATAATACAAATTAGTTGCAGTTGGATAAATCCATAAAATGAAACGGAATACCTAATCATTATTAAAACATTTCAAAGACGTCTTTCTGACATGAAAAAAACCTCCACATTTCATTTTCAGTGAGGACAGCAGGGCGTGGGGCTGTCTGGAAGGTCCGATGTCCTCTTTTGAAAGCTGTTACGTATGCATGGAGAAGAGAATAAAGCGAAACAGAGAAACGCTAGCGATGCTAACTCCAGGCTGCAGGATGGGATTTTGTTTCTTTTATTCTTGCGTTTTTTTTTTTTTTTTTGACAGGCAGAGTGGACAGTGAGAGAGAGAGACAGAGAGAAAGGTCTTCCTTTGCCGTTGGTTCATCCTCCAATGGCCGTCGCGGCCGGCGCGCTGCGGCCGGCGCACCGCGCCGATCCGGTGGCAGGAGCCAGGAGCCCGGTGCTTTTCCTGGTCTCCCATGGGGTGCAGGGCCCAAGCACCTGGGCCATCCTCCACTGCACTCCCTGGCCACAGCAGAGGGCTGGCCTGGAAGAGGGGCAACCGGGACAGAATCCGGCGCCCCGACCGGGACTAGAACCCGGTGTGCCGGCGCTGCTAGGCGGAGGATTAGCCTAGTGAGCCGCGGCGCCGGCCTATTCTTGCGTTTTCTAAGTAGAAACCATCCTGCTGGGTGCTGGAGAGGAAAACCCAGCTTCGCGTCACACTGACTTGGGTTCCAGTCCTGATTCTGCTCCACGCGAGTGGCCTGACCGTCACTTCTCTGCCTGGAAGGGTCTCTTACCTGCCCAACCACAACAACACTAGAACTCAGTGGAAGAATGTTTGTCTGGGAGACTGAATGCCAGTTTGGTGCTAGAATTTTTCTAGCGGGATTGACTAGGCTATCATTGGTCTGAAACATGACCTTGTAACCAGAGAAGAAAGGACTGCTCCAGTGAGCAGCACGTGGCCATGGATGGGGCAAGGGCTGGGCAGGGGATGAAAGAGGCCCCGAGGGGTGGACAGTGGTTGAGCCACAGGATGTGGGCGTGTCACCCAACTGGACCCAGGGTCGGGGGTGAACCTCAGCTCTCTGAGCTCCCAGGAGGTGGCCTTTCCTCCGTTCTCGTTTACGTAAACTCGCTGGAGAGAACAGGAAGCTGCTCTCGACTGCTCAGAGGACTGCTGGGGTTCGATTCCCACTTCCTGACAGTCTCGCCGTGTCTGGGTGAAGCGTGAGTGTGTTCCCCAAGTCGACGTCTTGGATGACTGGTCCTCAGGGTGCTGGTGGGAGATGGTGGGGCTCAACGAGGGGCCCCTTCAGTCACTGGGGGTGTGTCCTCCGACGGGACTGTGGGACCCCAGCCTCTCTGGCTTCCTTTTTCGGGCTGTGATCGTGTCTTCCCTTGAATGTTGAGAACCGCGAGTTAAATCAATCTCTTTTCTCTATGAAGCTATCCAGCCTTGGCCATTTCCTTACAGCAACGGAAACCAGACTGATACAAAACCCACACCACTGGGGCACGGGGGGCTGGTGACACTCAGGTGCTGGGCTGCTGTCTGGGGTGGGACCCTTGATTCTGCCAAGGGCTGTCTGGATACTGATAGCATCATGCCCGGGCCACACAGAATCATCAACTTAAACATCAGCCTGCTACAGATTTACTGAACTTCAGGTCCTGCCTGCGGTGGCCTTGGCAGGGCCAGAGCCCGTGGCCATGTGGGCCTCATACAGCCCGGACTTGGATGGTCAGGAAGTCCTCAAGAGGGTGCCAGGTGGTTACAGCTATGGCAAAGAGCGGTGCCCACTGAGTTCAGACGCTGTGCTAGGCATTATCCCAAGCCGTTGGTGGGGAGGGATCTTCAGTCTTTTCATTCTGGTGCTGACTCCTTCGGGCCTGGCTGCCTCTGGGGCCTCCCAGGGCCACTCAGTTCCTAGAGAGCCTGAAGCACTTGCCTTGCATTTGCAAACCGAGACACAGAAGTGTCTCCAGCCGGCCGATTCTCACCAGCCTGCTCCTTCCTAAGGATACCACAGCACAGGCTCCTGCTCATGCTTCCTCCCTCCTCCCCTACGTCCTCACCAGCCCCAGGGCTTCCCTGTGCCGCCCACCCCCCCACCATGCTGTTGTATGCTGTGCCCCCTCTCTTTGGGACCTGTGAGTAGTAGGTCGTCTATTGATCTTGCTGGTCTCATCATACTCGAATGATAACAAAACCTATGTCTTAAGATGGGAGGTGTTATTATTATTATGCCCATTTTACAGATAAGGAAAATGAGGCTCAGGAAGGTTGGGATAAAACAGCAAGTAATATGGGTGGCCGGAAACTCAATCCAGTCCATGTGAGTCAGGAACTGTGCCGTTGACCAATGTGCTTTACCGGGGAGCTCATATTCCATTCTTTCCAAGAGTTCTTTATAGCCAGGGCAGCGGACAGTTTTGGGGTGCAACCTTGCAGTTGATGGCTGGGCTCTGGTGAGAGGCCTGGACAGATGGCATGTACCACCCAGGTGACAGCGGGGAGGGCACTTTGCAGGAATCCTGCTGTTTTGGGTGCCTTACAGATGTTTTTTCCCTCGATCCTGAGGCTGTCTCGATGGGCTTTAGTATCCTTGATTTATGGTTGATAGAAGCAAGGCTTTGAGTGACAAATACATCCCAAGCCCATCGGGGCTCTGTGGCCAACAGCCCCATCTCCTGGTGTGGGCATCTGGCATAATGATCACGGCACCTACATCCAATATCAGAGCCCGGGCTCCACTTCCGATTCCAGCTTCCCGCTGACGCGCACTCGGGGCAGCAGCAATGATGGAAAAAGGACTTGGGTCCCTGCCACCCACGTGGGAGACGCGGATGGAGCTCTGGGCTCCTGGCTGTGGCCTGGCCCTGCCCTGGCTGTTGCAGGCAGGCATTTAGGGAGCGACCCAGTGGATGAAAGCCCTCTCCTCCTCTGTCTCTCTGCCTCTCGAATAAATAAACGTTTCAAAAAGCAGCCCCATCTCCGGAGCTAGGCTGCCCCAGGTTTGAATCCTGCCTGCGCTAATTACCACAAGACAAGTCCCTGAGTCCTTCGCAGTCTCAGTTTTCTCGCCTGTCAACTGGGAACAGCATAATCCCTGCTTTGAAGGCTGCTTGTGACGATTCCACAAGGCAGCTCAACATGACGCTCCATGCACTTCGCAAAGTTCATTTTTGTTCTAAGCCAGTCCTGAGCATAAGGTTCCCAAGCAACAAGATGCACCTAACTGGCAGGAAACCAAGAGCACCAGGTCCTTCGGAATCCAGCAGCAGCAGAAATAAAAGCCTCATTAAAACTTCCTTTCAAACCCAACTTTCAAGACAAACTCACTTGAAAAAAAATTGCTAAACATGAAAACTCCAGCGGAAAACCAATTACTTACTTTGGTACATTTTGTTAATTGCCTATTTTTTTTTTCCTTTTTGCTAAATTTACACTAAAATACACCAACTTAATTATTGCATTTGGTTTCAGATAATATCTGACGAGAGAAAGATTCGGCCAGAAGCTAACCCAGGCCAAGCGGCGGCCTCCAAAGGGGCTCAAGTGACAGACTGCGAATTGGGAGCCTCCAGAAATGCCCTCTCCGGGGTGCGTGGCGAGGAGGCAGCCGGGGGGACTCTGTCAGCGGAGACGGCCTCTCTCACATCTCCCGCTGGTGCTGGCTCTAATTGCGCACATCTGCAGGCGGCAGCTCCCCCCACCCAGCTCTCGCCACCCCCACACCGGGAAGGGAGGACCAGGGTGAGTGTGGCCACCTGGGGCGGGGGAGCAGAGACGCCCTCCTGGCTGCAGCTTCCCAGGGCACCGTGCCCCGCACCGTGGGGCTGTGTGCTGGACTTTTCTCCCACACATCCAAAGACATCCCATTCTCTCTCGTGGCCACAGTTCCTGTCTATTTGCTGGCAAGTCCTAAGGGCCTCTTCTCCAAACTCTAAGCGGGCAGAGGCACCTGCCTTCTGGCTGGCTAAGGCAGCTCACGCTCACTGTGTCCAGACCTGCCCTCTCTGCCCTCTGGGCATGCCCCCATCCTGCCTGGTTTCCAGGGCCTTGACCTTGGTGAATGACACCACTCTGCACTGGGTTGCTGCAGGCTGGAATCTGGGCCCCACTCGCACCCCAGCTCCAACAGCCACCTCTGAGTGCCTCTGTCCGTTCTCAGCCCTCACCCCCGCGGCCATGGGCTCCGAGGAGGCTGCCAGCCTCTTCCTGCGGATGAGCGACCTGGCCTCCACCGTGCCCTGCTCTGTCCCACTGTTAAACAGCAGCCCGAGAGGTTGGAGGGGCACGAAGGCCCAGTGATCACTCTCTCGCTCCCCTCTGCTTAGTACCAGTCAGTGGCTCCCAAGTGCCCCAGAGCTGAAAACCCCTTAACTCCGCTGCTAATTCCCTGTGGAACTCACCCCGCTTCCCTCTCTGGTCTCTCACCTCCCGGGCCCCAGCTTCATTCTGTCCCTGACTCTGTCAACTCTCTCTCCCCTCACTCCCCTACATGCTCCTCCCCTGGGAGTAAAGTGCTCCCTTCGACTGTCGTACCTTCCGGAGAACTGCTTCTACCTGGAACACCGCGGCCTACGCTCGCGTTCAACCTGTAGCTCAAGCTCACGAGTTGCTTCCTCCTGGAAGCCCTCCCTGACCTCCCAGGTTGGATTGGATTCCTGTTGCATTCCTAACCTGCAGTGTTTGTCCCAAGCATAGCCTTCGTCATGCTTGGCTAAAGCTGACCGCTTCCTTGTCTGTCTCCCACCAGGCAAAGTGGAGGAGGGGCCTGTGGTCCACACACTCTCGGGTACTCCTTCCTGTCTTCTCCTTGGGGAGTGGGCTGGGTGCAGTGACTTGCTTGTGACGAGGGCAATATGACGGCAGTGTACAACACGCCTGGCTAACTACGGTCGCCCCACTGGGCCATGTATCCAGAAGATAGGATCCTGACGGTTCTCACCACAAAGAAACGATAAGTGTTCAAGGTGATGAGTATGCTAACCACCCTGACTGGATCATTCCACAGCGTGTACATGCATCAAAATACCCTGCTGCACCCCAGAAATATGAACACTGGGGGTCAGCGCTGTGGTGTAGCGGGCAAAGCTGCCACCTGCAGGGCCGGCATCCCATGTGGGCGCCGGTTCCAGTCTCAGCTGCACCACTTCTGATCCAGCTCTCTGCTGTGGCCTGGGAAAGCAGTGAAGGATGGCCCAAATGCTTGGACCGCTGCACCCATGCAGGAGACCTGGAGGAAGCTCCTGGCTCCTGGCTTCAGACCGGCTCAGCTCCGGCCATTGTGGCCATTTGAGGAGTGAACCAGTGGATGGAAGACCTCTCCCCCCACCCCCCCCGCCTCTGCCTCTCTTTAACTCTGCCTTTCAAATAAATAAATAAATCTCTAAAAAATACAATGTATGATGACGTGTCACTCAAAACGAAAATAAGACTTAAAAAATAACAGCAGAAATGATGAGGTCATGAGCCACCATGAGGCTTCCCGTGGCCGTGTTGTGAGGTCACTCACAGCCTGCAGGCAGCCCTGTGCGGTGAGGAGTGGGGAGGCCTCCTGCCAACAGCCGTGTGAGCGTTCCACTTTAGTCCACTGAGCCTCCAGGCAAGACCACAGCCCTGGCCGATAGCCTGACCATAGCCTCACGGACAGCCCAGATCAGCTCAGAAATACTTAGCTAAGGGGCTAGCACGGGGCACGGCAGGTTAAAGCTTCTACGTATGACGCCAGCATCCCATATGAGAGCCGGTTTGAGCCCTGGCTGCTCGGCTTCCGATGCAGCTCCCTGCTGATGCACCTGGAAAAGCAGCAGAGGATGGCCCGAGTGCTGGGGCCCCTGCACCCATGTGGGAGATGCGGACAGAATTCTAGGCTCCTGGCTTTGGCCTCACCCAGCCCCGTTTGTTGCAGCGTCTTGAACCCCAGTGGATTGAACATCTCTTTGTCTCTCCCTCCTTCTCTGTAACTCTGCCTCTCACATAAACAAAAATAACTCTTTGAAAAAAGCAGAAATACTCGGCTAAGCCACACACAACTTCCAGACCCCAGAAACTCGGGATAATAAATAGTGTTTGAAGCCGCCCAGTTTTGGGGTGACTTTTCATGCAGTGAGAGACACTAACACAAGCCTGAATCTTGCATTCTCAGCACTGGGCAGAGTGCTGGCATATAGCAGGCACCTGGCACACAGCTCTTGAATGAATGAGTGAATGAATGTGAGAGGTAGCTTGTCGCATCCTCCCAAGCAGGCGTGCCAGTGTGTTAGGGTCATTCTTTCTACCCCACCCCACTTACGGCCCCCCAGTCGCCACCAGAAACCCAGACAGTTGGCCCCACACACAGGCGCACTGGCCCTTCCTGAATCGTTAAAGGCAGGCTGGGCAGGACGGGAGCCGGGGAGCACTTACCCGAGCGCAAAGACGTCCGAGTGCTTGGAGAAGGGGAGCTTGTCCTCCGCGGTGTCCGGGGACAGCTGCCGGATGATCTCGGGCGCCAGGTGGCACAGCCAGCCGTTCTGGATGCGCAGTTTGTCCTCCCGTCTGGAGAAGCAAGACGCAGAGTGAGCTCCGATCCCCAGCCGGGGGAGCACCAGGCCCCTGGCGTGGACTCCAAACCCCAGATCCGTGCTCTCTGGATTCCCCCCTTGGGCAGTGCCTGACCTTCGACTCCAGGCGGAGACCCAGTGGGAGGCACAGGGAGGCACCAGCACCCACACCATCCCTGTGTGCTATCACCTCTGAGGCAGCTCTCCGTCCACCCTCATTCAACAAACGCCACACTGGTACCCAGAGTACTAACTCAGCAAATACCGCATCATTGCTGATGGGAGAAATAGGCGCGCACACAGACACAGACACAATCTCACGTACAGTACAAGCTTAAATCTTGGAAATGACTCCTCCTGGTGGGCTCTAGGTTATTGTACAAAACAGAAAATGGGGTCCAGAAGTGTTCAGTGCCTTGCTCAAGGTGGTCCCCTCAGCAGGTGTCAAAGTTGAGATCCCGACCCCATCCACCTGGCCCCCGTGCTGCAGCTCAACACCCCCGCCCTGCAGTGCCCTTCTGTCTCTTCCTGTGGCTGCCGAGGCTAGACCAGAGGGCAGGGCCCCTCCCTTGCTCAGCCTCAGCTGGGAACACGTGCACTGCTGGTGGCCGCATGGCTGCAAATGCCTAGGAAAGTGCCGTGAATACGATTGTGGGAGCGCAACTAAATTTTAGCGAGCAGGTGAACCCATAAACGTGAGATCCGCGGATGATGAAGGTTGAGGTGACCGACAGCTAAGCTGAGGTTCTGTCCTCAGCACCAGGGACACAGCAGGCCCTATCCTCCTGCAGCTTACACTGTGGTAAGGGATGGAGGTGACAAATGAATTAGGCAGGGAAAAAAAAATACAGATGGCGATGAGTGTTGTACAAAGAATTAAAATAGGGGAATGCGTCCTGGAGACGGGAAGAGGTTTGCTGTGGGAAAACTGTCAGCCAAGATCTCTGTGGCTTAAAGGACGCCAGCATTGTTGGAACACGTCATGTCAGCCTTCGAGCCAAAAGGGATGCAACCCCCTGGTGGTGGGCCTTGGCACTTGCCCCCTTCACCATCATAAACACGTGCACATCTCTGGGCAGACACTGGAGACACCTCCCTTCACCCACATCCACGGTTATTCCTTACAGTAAATTCTCAGACGAGGAAGGGGGTTGGCTCCCCCCCATACACGGAAGTGTTCAGCAAGTTAGAGCTTTCACCGTTTGGGACTCCCAGGAGGTCTTATGGATTCAGGATTCCCAGGAATGGGCCAGTTAACAAGAGGAGGTGGGCCAGGTGGGGGAGGGGCGGGCTACCTGGGCCTGCCAAGACTCCGGCCTGCAGTGAGGCCCCGGGGCTGGTGGGTTCTGGTTATATTTGCAGGGTGGGGTCCTGCACTAAGGAGGGTGAGACACACTGCTCCCCCCAGTTCACTCTCACATCCCATAAACATGACTTTCGCCATCTCTGAATGCCATCAAGAGCAGCAATATCCTAAGTCGTTTCCATAATGACAGATGTGCATTAAAATTAAGATGGAAATTGTGTGTTCGTGGCCTCCCTGAACCAATGTGCAGACCACAGTTTTGGAAACACAGAGCAGTGGAAGGATCCCCGAGGGATGCAAGGAGTTGGGAATGTGGGGTCCTAGGTGTGGGGAGCAAACCGGACTGGACTGAGTTACTGGAATTAAGACTTATTCTATGCATCTGCTCTCCCACAATATGGCGCTGGGAGAGAAGTAAACAGCTTCCGCACAGCTGCCTCCAGTTCAGCTAATAAACTGTAGGACTTGCTCCTGATTGGAGGAGAGCAGCGTACTCGGCGTGTGGGCAGCCGAGTTAGGATTGGCGGAGGAGGACTATAAAGGAGGAGAGAGACGGCATGCACCAGGAACATCTAAGGGGAACATCTGAGGGAACACCTGTGCAGCCCCCCGAGAAAGCCGGCCGGCGGTGTGCCGCTCCCCTGCGGAAGTGGGGAATGCGGCCAGGGGGAACTGCCCTTCCACGGAGGTGGAAGGGATAGTAGCCAACCCGGGAAGAACCAGCAGCAAACCCGGGGAGGGCCGAGCAGACAGAAAGAACAGCGCAGGGTTTAGTGTTGCTCCTCCACGAAGAGGGGGAGCGACATCTTGGTGCCGTGACTCGGATAGGAAACCTGACACGGATAGCAAACTTAGGAGGGAAGAAACGGGAAGAACTGGGAAATTACCGGAGAGAGAGACTAGCAAACAGCCTAGGGAAAAGCCGGACGAAAAGGGTGCTGGAAGAAGCTATTGAAAGCCTAGGCATAGACTCAGATACGGACTACGGGGGGAAGCTGGGAGGAATCTCTAAGGTCGAAAGCGAAAGTGAAAGCTAGAACAAACAGACTCGGACGCGGACTGTGGGGAGAGGCCAGGAGAAATGAGGGAGGAGTATTGTTGGAGGAAAGCTTGGGGAAACATACCGGGTAGAGAAAAGTGTTAGGGAAATTGAAGCCGCGGGGGGCAGGCCGAGGCGGACACGAAAGCCACTTTGGGATTCTCAAGTTAGCCCGGGAATAGGGGGCGAAAAGTTGAAACCAGAAGCTGAAACGTAAGCCAGATTGGGATCCGTCTGATTAGCCCGGGGAGCAAAGGACGGGAAGCCAAACCGTGGGGCAGAGACGTATGCTGGGTTGAATTCGCCAGGCTAGCCCGGGGAACTTAGATTGAATGCTAGTGGCGGACACGTAAGCTACGCTGTGTTACTCGCGGAAGCCGCCGCGTGCAGAGAGAGCACGGGGCGTGAATAGATAGGGAACGGGGCTGGCGCGAGGCCATGGTGCAGACGCGAAGGGCGTGGAGACCGCGGAGTGCGCGAAGCCAAGCTGCGCAAAGCCGGGAAGCTGCGCAGATGAAAGAGGCGCGGGCTGAAGCGGCGCAGCCAGGAAGCCGCGGGGATAAGAATGAGAGCGGGAAGCCGCAGGGATAAGAGAAACAGAAGTTTAGAAGTAAAAGAGAAATAGGAATGCTGGAAGATAGAAGTAAAATGGGAGAAATAGGAATGCCCGGAGATAGAGAAATAGAGAAATAGAAAGGCCTCCCTACAACACTGCAATGTGAGAGCTTGGATTCGGTCTGCCTGATTAAGTGAGGCGATGAGCACGATGAGCACCTGCGGCGGCTAGCAGCTTATGCGCCGCAGGTCACCGAAGACAGGCACGAATTAACATCAGTAAGGCCTCCCCACAAAAAGGCAATGAGAAGGCTTGGATTCGGTTTGCCTGATAGGACTTGTAAGAGCCTGTGGCAACTCTAGCAAGTAGAGCAGAGTGTGTGCCGCGGGACACCGAAGACAGGCGCGTATGAACGCCAAAAAATAAAAAGAAAGGGGGATCTGTGGGGAGCAAACCGGACTGGACTGAGTTACTGGAATTAAGACTTATTCTATGCATCTGCTCTCCCACAATATGGCGCTGGGAGAGAAGTAAACAGCTTCCGCACAGCTGCCTCCAGTTCAGCTAATAAACTGTAGGACTTGCTCCTGATTGGAGGAGAGCAGCGTACTCGGCGTGTGGGCAGCCGAGTTAGGATTGGCGGAGGAGGACTATAAAGGAGGAGAGAGACGGCATTCACCAGGAACATCTATGGGGAACATCTAAGGGAACCCGTGCAGCCCCCGAGAAAGCCAGCCGGCGGTGTGCCGCTCCCCTGCAGAAGTGGGGAATGTGGCCAGGGGGAACTGCCCTTCCACGGAGGTGGAAGGGATAGTAGCCAACCCGGGAAGAACCAGCAGCAAACCCGGGGAGGGCCGAGCAGACAGAAAGAACAGCGCAGGGTCCTGTGTCGTTCCTCCACGAAGAGGGGGAGCGACACTAGGGACCCACCCTCAGTCTGGGTGAGTCTCTGTGTCGAAGTCGCTTTGCGCCTGGTAGGGTGTACAGTATCCTGTACAGATACTGTACAGTTTGCACAGTATCCCTGCAATCTATTCACCAGATGCCAGCAGCACCACGTGCCACTGTGACAATCCAGACAGTGCCAAAGTTCCCCGGGGGCAACACCGTCCTAACTCACAGACAATAAAGAGACGGCCAGAAGGTCAGTGTCATGGCCTTGGTAGCTCGGTTTGCTCTTGTATTCGACACAAAGGCAGAACGCGGGGCCCAGACCTCCTGGCAAACTCCTGAGTTGGAAAAATTGAATGAGTTCTTGCTTCTAGAACCACAGATACCTGCAGAGGATGAAGAACCCATCCACTGCTTGCTAACTGTGGGACCCTGAGCAGAGCCCAAGGATTCATTTTCCCATCTGCAAACTGGGTCCATTAATTTGTGCTTCACAGGCTGTTGCAAGGATTAAGATGACAGTGCATGAGACAGGGCTCTGTCAGCTGCTGGGGTTACATGATTAATGGACAGAATTATCACATTATCTGCTATCTATCTATCCATGCATCCATCCTTCCACAAAGCCTGCCTATCTACGTCTGTCTGTCTGTCTATCATCTATTGCGAAGACTCAGAAATGGAGATGAGACCAGGGCATGAAGCGCATTGCCCAAGGAAGAGGGGCCTGGCCTGGGCCAACCAGTGTTCTCCTGGCACGGTCAGGTCACTGGAGGGGGTGGAGGATGCTGCTGCCACAGGGTGAGCTCCCCATCTTTTTCCAAACGTCCCCGCCACCTCTTCCTGACTCACTGGGTCATCACAGGGCCAGGACGGCAAGAGGAGCAGGGGCTCCATGACCACCAGCTGGGGCAGGTGTGTGCACAAGCCTGGGAGGGTGCTGGGAGCCAGGCCTGGCACAGACACCCCGGGGCGTCCCGTCCCTATGGCAATGGGCCTACCAGTGACAACCCAAATCATCTTCATTATGGTTATTATTATGATTAATAACAGGCTGTGCATGGCTGGCACCACTGCACTGGCGTCTTAAATGGCACCTTTTCTTGACAAAGCAGAACAGCCGTACGTGGGGTTCCGTGTGGATGCACAGGACGTGCTCTCTCCATGGTGCCACCCCCATCCCTGGCACAGGCTGGCCAGGTC